CCTCCCAAAGTGCTGGGATTACATGTGTGAGCTACCATGCCCAGCCAGATTGTTTTTAGATACAACACAAAAGCACAAACAACAAATACAAAAGATGAATATATTAAAATCTATAAAAATTTAAAACTAGATCAGGCACAGTGGTTCACACCTATTAATCCCAACACTTTGCAAGGCTGAGGCAGGTGGATTGCTTGAGCCCAGAAGCTCGAGACCAGCCTGGCAACATAGCAAAATCTCGTCTCTAAAAAATAAAAATAAATTGAAAGCTACTATGTATCAAAGGACATCATCAAGAAAGTGAAAATCAACCTACAGAATGGGAGAGAATATTTGCAAATCATACATCTGTTTATGGGTCTAGTATCCAGAATATATAAGGAATTTTAATAACAAAAACAAAAAAAAATAATTTTAAATGGACAAAGAACTTGAATACACACTCTCCAAAGAAGACATACAAATGACCAACAAGTGCATGAAAAGATGATCAACATCATTAGTCATTAGGGAAACACAACTCAAACCACAATGAGATACCACGTCACACCCACTAGGATGGCTGTAATTAAAAACAAAACCAAAAAGAAAAAGAAAAAGAAGTACTGGCAAAGATGTGGAGAAATTGGAACCCCTTATACACTATTGATGAGAATGTAAAATGGTATAGCCACTGTGGAAAACAGTTTGGTGGTTCCTCAAAAACTTAAACATAACAGCCGGGCATGGGGGCTCATGCCTGTAATCCAAGCACTTTGGAGGCCAAGGCGGGCAGATCACCTGAGGTCGGGAATTCAAGACCAGCCTGACTAACATGGTGAAACCCCGTTTTAAAAAAAAAAAAAAGGCCGGGCACAGTAGCTCACACCTGTAATCCTAGCAATTTGGAAGGCCAAGGTGGGTGGATCACGAGGTCAAGCGATCAAGAGCATCCTGGCCAACACAGTGAAACCCCGTCTCTATTAAAAATACAAAAAAATCAGCCGGGTATGGTGGCATGCACCTGTGGTCCCAGCTACTTGGGAGGCTAAGGTGGAAGAATCATTTGAACCCAGGATGCGGAGGTTGCAGTAAGCCAACATTGTGCCACTGCACTCCAGACTGGTTACAGAGCAAGGCTCCGTCTCAAAAAAAAAAACTTAAACATAAAGCTACAATACAACTCTACAATTCCACGCCTATGATACACCCCAAAAAACTGAAAGCAGGTACTCAAACAAGTACATGTAACTAACATGTCCACAGCATAGCAGCACTATTCACAATAGCCAAAACGTGGAACCAGTCTAAATATCCATCAATAGAATAATAAACAAATTGTGGTATGTATATACACACATAATTCAGCCAGTAAAAACAATAAATAAAAATGAAGTTTTCTGACGCATGTTGCAACGTAGATGGACCTTGAAAACATGCTAAGTGAAATAAGCCAGACAGAAAAAGACAAACATCATATGATTCCACTTAAATGAAATATCTAGAATAGGCAAATTCATGAAGACAAAAAGATTGGAAGTTAACAAAGGCTAGCAGGAGGGAGGAATGAGGAGTTATTGCTTAATAAGTAGAGTTTCTGTTTGGGATGATGAAAAACTTTTAAAAATAGATAGTGGTGAAAGTTCCACAATACTGCGAGTATAAGTACTGCAATTAAATTGTATACTTATAAATGATTAAAATGGCGAGAACGATCCAAGATGGCCGATCGCTAACATCCCGGGATTGCAGCTCTCAGGGAAGGCGCGGAGAACTAGAGGACGCCACACTTTCAGACAAAGTCTGGTCGCTCACGGAGCAGAAGATCCCCCAGTGGTGGAAACACACGAGTCGCCAGCGCGACTCTCGTGGTAGGCGCAGCGGTTCCGCTGGCACCTCAACGCGGCAGCGCTCAGCGCAGAGTAAACGGGACAGGTTCCCCTTCTGACCGAGGTTTGGAGCCCCGGGAAGGCAGAGTCGCCTACTACGGAAACAAGAAGGAAGCCCGACAGGAGAATCCTAGGCAGAAAAGCACCATCAGTTTTAACGCTGCTGCTCTGGCCCTGGGAACTAACAACCTGGACATCCACTCAAGAGACCTAATCTGAAAGTTGGTAATTTCAAAGACGACAGGAGGATAAATTTACAATAACGGGAAGAAACCAGGGTAAAAAAGCTGAGAATACTCAAAGTCAGAACACCTCTCCCTCTAAAGATGATCACAGTTCCACATCAACAATGGAACAAGGCTTGATGGAAAACGAGCGCCTCCTGATGACAGAATCACTCTTCAAGGAATGGATAATAACAAACTTCGGTGAGTTAAAAGAACATGTTGTAGCCCAACGGAAAGAAACTAGGAACTTTGAAAAAAGGTTTGATGAAATCGCATTGAGAATAGACAACTTAGAGAGGAGTATGAGTGAATTAATGGAACTGAAGAATACTATACAGGAACTCCGAGAAGTATGCACAGGTTTAAACACTCGAATTGTTCAAGCAGAAGAAGGGATATCAGAGGTCAAAGTCCAACTTAATAAAATAAAACGTGAAGAAAAGATTAGAGAAAAAAGGATAAAAAGAAATGAGCAAAGTCTCCAAGAAATGTGGGACTATGTGAAAAGACCAAATTTACGTTTGATAGGTGTACCTGAATGCGACGGAGAGAATGAATCCAAGCTGGAAAATACCCTTCAGGATATTATTCAGGAAAATTTTCCTAAACTAGCAAAGCAGGTCAACATTCAACCCCAGGTAATACAGAGAACACCACAAAGATATTCCTCAAGAAGAGCAACCCCAAGGCACATAATCATTAGATTCACCAGGGTTGAAACGAAGGAGAGGATACTAAGGGCAGCCAGAGAGAAAGGTCAGATTACCCACAAAGGCAAGCCTATCAGACTTACAGCAGATCTCTCCGCAGAAACTCTACAGGCCAGAAGAGAGTGGGGGCCAATATTCAACATCCTCAAAGAACAGAACCTTCAGCCCAGAATTTCATATCCAGCCAAACTAAGCTTCACAACTGAAGGAAAAATAAAATCTTTTATGAACAAGCAAGAACTCAGAGATTTTATTACCACCAGGCCTACTTTACAAGAGTTTCTGAAAGAAGCATTACACACAGAAAGAAACAACCAGTATTAGCCTTTCTAAAAATACACCAAAAAGTAAAGAGCACCAACATAAAGAAGAATTTACACCAACAAATGGATAAAACAGCCAGTCAACATCAAATGGCAGTAACCCTAAATTTAAATTGACTGAATTCCCAGTCAAAAGACACAGCCAAAACCCAACGGCATGTTACATCCAGACCTGTTTCACATGCAAGGATACACAAAGACTCAAAACAAAGGGATGGAGAAAGATTTACCAACCAAATGGAGAGCAAAAATAAATAATAAATAAATAAAAAGCAGGAGTTGCAATTCTCGTATCGGATAAAATAGATTTTAAAGCAACAAAGATATAGTGGTAAAAGGATCAATGCAACAAGAGCTAACGATCCTAACACCCAGATAGGAGACATAGATTCAATGAGACAGAAAATTAATCAGGATATCAAGGACTCGAACTCAGATCCGGAACAAGTAAACTTAATAAATATTTATAGAGCTCTCCACTTCAAATACTCAAAATATACATTCTCGTCAATACCACATCACACCTACCCATTAGTTTAAATGAAACATTGATTGGCCATTATTAATACCCAATTTTTTTCAAAATAAAGCAATGTTTCCATTTACTCTCCCTCTTTCTCTTCCTCTTTCTTCCTCTCCTTTACTTATTTTTTTTTTTCTTTCCTTCTCTCAAAAAAAAAGAAATCAACTTTTAAACCTCTAGATCCAGGTCGGCAATGTCTCTTTCATTGCTTGATTTTCTTTATTCCCTTCCCTTCCTCCCTCCCTCCCTCCCCGCTTCCTCCCTTCCTTCCTTCCTTCATCCCTTCCTTCCTCCCTACCGTCCTTATTCCCTTCCTTTCTGCCTTCCTCCCCCCCCAAAAAAAAAATAAAATAAAATAAAAAATAAATGATTAAAATGGGAAAATTTGGTTATACATATTTTACCACCAAAAAAAAGATAATAAAAAAAGGAGCAAAGTACCGACACATTACAATATAGATTAAGCTCCAAAATGTTATTCTAAGAAGTCAGATACAAAAAGTCACATATAGTATTATCATTTATATGAAATATCCAAAATAGGTAAATCCTATTGGTGGCTGCCAGTGGGGGTGGAAAATGGGGAGAAACTGCTTAAAAGGTAAGGAGTTTTCCTCTGGAATGATGGAAATGTTTTGGAACTAGATAAAAGTGGTGGCTGTACAACATTGTGAATGTACTAAATACTACTGAACTGTTTAATTTAAAATGCTTAATTTTATATTAATTTCACCTCAATAAAATTTGTTTAAGTATATGAGAGAGTTCAGGGTATCATCCAGGCATCAGGAATTAGGGCTTAGAAGGAAGGCAAGGCAAGAAATAGTCAGGAACCCAGTACATACTGTGACTAAGAGATACCCAGGAATAGCAGCAAAAAGCAATTAAAACTGGGCACAGTGGCTGACTCCTGTAACCCCAGCACTTTGGAAGGGTGAAGCAGGAAGGCCACTTGAGTCCAAGAGTTCAAGACTGGCCTGGGCAACATCATGAGACCTCATCTCTATAAAAAAAAAAAATTAGCCAGGCATGGTAGTGCAAGCATCTGTGGTCCCAGTTACTCAGGAGGCTGAGTTAGGAGGCTCACTTGAGTCTGAGGGATCAAGGCTGCAGTGAGTAGTGATGATGCCACTGGATTGCAGCCAGGGCAACAGTGAGACCCTGTTTAAGGAAAAAAAAAAAAAAGCAACTTGATACTGCAGCAACCCATACTGCAGCAACTTGATGCCTCACTGTACTGGTCAGGATATAAAGCCGATGTAACTAAGAGACCCTCAAATACAGTGGATTAAACAAAAACTTTATTTCTCTCTTATAATAGTTTAGCAGTAAGCAGTCTCAAATGAGAGTGGAACTTTGCCATTCTCATTGAAAATGAAGCTTCCGTCTCTGGGATCAAAGTAGGTGCTGCAGGAGGGGGTGGGGCCTGTCTAAGGAGTAGGCGGGGCTAGTTGGTAGAGCTCACCCGGCAGTTCTGGGACCGCATGGAGGGCGGTGAGCGCTTCTCCCAAGGTAGAACCAGCGGCACTGGAGCGCCGGCGTCCTCTGCCAGCACCCCTTCCTCGCCGGCCGGCACTTCGACTGCAGACTTTTGCCCACGCTTCAAGACTTAGGGCGCAGTGCCTTTCAGAATTTGCCCACTCGTCTGGTATAACTAGTTCTGATGGCTGGGAATAAAGGAAGAGGACGTGCTGCTTATACCTTTAATATTGACGCTGCTGGATTTAGCAAAGGTGAAGTTACCTGATGTAGTTAGTGTTGAAACCGCCCCCACTATTTCCTGATACAGATTATAAAGCAGTACCACTGAAAGCAGGAGAAGGTAAAGAATATATGCTGGCTTTGAAACAGGAGTTGAGAGAAAAAAATGCCTTATTTTATTGAAACACCTGAAGAAAGACAAGATATTGAAAGGTATAGTAAAAGATATATGAAGGTGTACAAGGAAGAATGGATACCAGATTGGAGAAGACTTCCAAGAGAGATGATGCCAAGAAATAAACATAAAAAAGACCACAAACTCAAAAAGGCAAAAGACGCAGGCAAAGGCACTTCACTAATACTGCCAATGTTTTGAAAAAAATTGAGGAATCGGAAAAGAGAGGTGATGGTGAAAAATCAGATGAGGAAAATGAAGAGAAAGAAGGAAGCAAAGAGAAAAGTAAAGAAGGTGAGGATGACAACGATGATGCTGCTGCAGAACAGGAGGAATATGATGAAGACCAAGAAGAGGAAAATGACTACATTAATTCATACTTTGAAGATGGAGATGACTTTGGCGCAGACAGTGATGACAACATGGATGAAGCAACCTATTCGGCATGAAAATTTTCAAAAAATATTTTTATGATACAGCTTCTCTGAATATTTGGACAGAATTGTTTTGTATTTTATTTCTGATAAGGTATAAGTATTTATGTTTTTGTTTTTTTTGGACAAATATTTGTTACCAAAATATTCAAAACCACTTTGAGTTTACATACTAGGTACCTTACAAATTAGTCCCTGACACTCGGACATTCCTTCTAAACACCTCTGCCATCTCTCTTATGTACTCTCATGGATTTTTTCATATTTTAATATGAATGTGCCTAAAGAACTTATGCTCGCTTAATCTATGTGTACATATTTGAAGAAATCATTCTTGTTTAACTGCTGATCTTTTATAAAACTATTGCTAGTCATAATGAATTTCTATAACCTGAAAGTTGATATAACAGCACATTGAGCACTTTAAAAACTAAGAAACTTGAAAATAATTTTAGTTTTTACTTTTACATAGTGTGTTCTAGACTACTGCATTTTTGACTACATAAACCTACCCGAGCTCTTACAAGTGCAGAATTGTGAGATAGAGGTTTTGTGATGGAAAACATACACACAGGGAAAAATACCAAACTGAGCAATATCAAGTTCACAGCTCACATCTTAGCCAGTACAAAGAAACTTTCACATGGGGTGAATATTATAAAGACTTGAATTTGGGACTCACTTGATACTGTATGATATATAAATTAATCATCCCACTGTAATAACTTGGACATCTTCAAATAGTTGGGCTTATGAAAAACTTGACTAAGACATTTTATTTTATCCTTTATGTAAGTGTGAAAAAAGTTCTGGTCATATAAATATCACTGTAGAATGCATGTATGTGAACTCTATGAAGTATGGTGGCCTTTTGTGTTTCAGAGTACTCAAGTTGTGCATTTGATTTATATAAATGCAAAATGAACTCAGGTCATTTTGAAATTAAGATTTTTTTGTTTAACTTTAAAGCTAGCTCCCCCAACTTTACATATTTTTGGGGGGAAAAATGCCTAAAAACCTTAGCCTACAGACTCTCACAAATGCCAAAGATTTTCAAGGAAATTCATATTATATATTTGAAAAATGATTTATCAACATTATCTACCAAAAGAAATTATTTTTCCCCTTTGGGAAGATATCATTAACCTGAAATGTGAGAATCTGATCCCTAAATTCTATTTCTACCTGTACTATTAAACTCAATCTTGAAACTGAGTGTGGTTGTTTATGTGCCTTAGTTTCTCCACTCGTACACAATTTCCTATAAAAGTTGTTTAAACACCAACCAAAATTTACTATATGTATTTATTCTCTTTAAAGATGACTTCTTAATTTACATTTGGTTCTCACCCTCTAAAAATTTATAGTTTAGGAAGTAACTGAAAACAGAATTTTGAGAAACATGTTTTCCTCACAAAATATAATCTGATTTTCCTATCTTGTATTCATGCAGAAAATTGGGAAAAATAGTGTATTGTCTTGTGCCATTTTGCAACATGAGTTTCTCGGAAAAAAGATCACTTTCAATGGCAATATTTTCTTAAATAATTCAAGATGGGTGTGAGTACCTATCTTATTAGTTTAGTGCTGTATTAACCATTTGTGAATTATTTCTTGTTTAAAGGAAGTTGTAAAACAAATTTAAGATTATAAATGGAATACATGAATAAAATAAGCCTTAGAATAGAAACCACACATAAAGTTGTCATTTGGGGTTGATAATTAACATAGGTGTTTTATTCTCTCACCACCTTAGTACCAGAACTAAATACCATTTAGTTCTCAGAAATCTTATCAATATTGTTCTGTTTACCTACTTATGATAAATCTGCAGATAACCACTTGAACCAGGCAAATACACTGAAGGTAATTTCTTTTTTAGCTTTGAATTTGTCATGACCATTTTAGTCTTGCAGATAGCAGGGCAGCCCCTTGGGTCACCAGCCATCCCCTTTAAAAAGCCTTCTTTTTACAACGTTAAAGTTAATTGTAAGAACAAGCAGGATTTGCAGGTTGCTTTACCAGCATGAATCTCATTTTCCTGGCCGAAAATCTGAGACTGTGAAATTATTCCATAGGAAAGTTAATTTTATTTTGCAGAGATAGCCTCTTAGATAAAAGTTGTTGAAGTGTCTTTAAAATTGCTATCATGAGCAAAATTGTTTGGTTGCTATAATGCTTATTTTTCTGTATTTGTTTACACATTAAATTCTTACAAAATTGTGTTCCTTTGTTTTACAGTAAGATGTTTTATTTTGAACTTATTTAAATGTATATTTGGTAGAGAAAATTAATTTGTTAATACAGATCTTACCTAGTAACTATCTATTGAGCAGGGATGTCTATTACAAATATTCTTGAATAAACTATCACCACAAACAACAACAACAAAAAGGTGCTGCAGATCTCCATATTCTAGCTAGCACAAAGGGAAAAGGGAAAGAGAAACACCACATACTGTTTTTAAGTATATGATATACAAGTGGCACATATAACATTTCCACTTGGATCACCCTGGATAGAACTGACACATGTGGCCACACTTAGTTGCAAAGGAAGCTGAGCAGCCATGCATCCTGCTAAAACCCAGGTGTTCTATCATTAAAGAAATAATGAGAGAGCCCACACTGGCAATCTCTTTCATATCACCTGAGGTTGTTTTTTTTTTATATTTTTGTCTTATTAAACAAACAATTTGACTGGGTGCAGTGGTGGCTCATGCCTGTAATCCCAACACTTTGGGAGGCTGAGATGGGTGGATTACTTGAGGTCAGGAGTTCAAGACCAGCCTGGCCAACATGGTGAAACCCCATCTCTACTACAAATGCAAAAAATTAGTCGGACATCATGGCGGGTACCTATAATCCCAGATACTCGGGAGGCTGAGATAGGAGAATCGCTTGAACCTGGGAGGTGGAGGTTGCAATGGGCCGAAATTGCACCACTGCACTACAGCCTGGGCAACAATAGTGAAACTCTGTCTCAAAAAAAAAAGTTTATTCCCAACTTCAGCTATACTGAACTTTGAAGTTATTGTTAAGTGAAACCTGAAGTTTACAGTTATTGTTAAGTGAAAGCTGCTGGCGAGCTTGGAAAAAAAGAGGGGAAGAGGGGAAGAGGAAAGGGAGGGGGAGGAGGAAGGGAAGGAGAACGGGAGGGAAGGGACAGTTATGGATAGATGCCCCCGGTGAGCCTCACTACATTGAACAATACAACAAAGCCTACTTATTTAACTTTCATGACTCAGTATTTATGGTGGAAATAAAAGTTGCTCTAAAAAAAAAAAAAATCAGTAAATGCTATCTCTGTGCAATACAAGGCCAAGTGGTACAGAAAAAAAAAGCAGTGTTTCTGTTTTTAAAAAACTTCCAATCTTGTGTGGCAACCACATACAAAGCAACCACAATGCAGCAAGATAACTGAGACATATAATGAAGAGTCTACTAGATAGAAAAGGGTGAGTAGGCCGGGGGTGGTGGCTCACACCCAACACTGTGGGAGGCCAAGACAGGAGGATCACTTGAGCCCAGGAGTTTGAGACCAGCTTCAGCAACACAAGGAGACCCCATCTCTACAAAAAACTTTTAAAGTTAGCCGGGCATGGCAGTACATGCCTGTAGTCCCAGCTACTCAAGAGGGTTAGGTGGGAAGATCACTTGAGCTCAGGAGGCTGAGTTCTGCAGCTGGGGCAACAGAGCGAGACCCTGTCCAAAGAAACAAAAACAATTTTTTTTTGAGACAGAGTCTTGCTCTGTCACCAGGCGCAACGCTAGAGTGCAGTGGCGCGAGCTTGGTCACTACAACCTCCGTCTCCTGGGTTCAAGCAATGCTCCTGCCTCAGCCTCCCAAGTAGCTGGGACTACAGGCACATGCCACCATGCCCAGCTGATTTTTGTATTTTTTAGTAGAGATAGGGTTTCACCATGTTGGCCAAAATGGTCTCGATCTCTTAACCTCATGATCTGCCTGCCTTGGCCTCCCAAAGTGTTGGGATTACAGGTGTGAGCCACTGCTACTGGCCACAAAAACAATTTTAAAAAGAAGGTAAGGAGACATTCCAAGGAAAATGAAAAACATGAATAAAAGCATAGAAAAATGTTTGCTTGAAAAGACAATATGCAGAACCCAGATCATAGAATGCCAGGAACACCAGACTGAGAAGCTTGGATTTTAGAATCTCTGAGAAATAGGAAAGAATAGAGACTTCTGAGTAGGGGTGGGCCACAATTATATTGACTTATTAGAAAGATTCTGGCAGCCAACTGGAAGAATGGACAAGGAGAGATGCCTTGGAGTCTCATCCTTGCTGTTACACCTAGTCCTATCCTTATCTCCCCAATGCTACCACTGAAGCCAAGACCTTACAGAGAAGGAAGGCAAACCCTGGCCAAATCCCACAAACTCAGGCAGGACGAGATCTGTAGATTTGTTAGTTTGATTTTAGTTTTAATCTTTTATTGAGGTGAAATTCATATGAGATTAACCATTTTTAAGTAAACAATTCAGTGGCATTTAGTACATTCAAGTGTCGTGCATCCACAGAGGTTTTTAGTTCTATTTTTTTTTTTAAGAGATAGGGCGTCATATGTTGCCTAGCCTGGCCTTGAACTCCTGGGCTCAAGCAATCCTCCCACCTCAGCCTCCTGAGTAGCTGGGACTGCATGTGCCACCATGCCCAGCTGGACCTTAGTTTTTAATGAGGTCCAGGAAAGCCTCTGCTGACTTCACTCAGGTCAGGCTTCATCAGTCCTCTGGCATTTCTGCTCAGATGGATATGCCAGATACTTTTGGCTTTCAACAAACATCTGCCTAGAGTCCCTAGACTGCCATACTCTTTTCTAACCTTTCCTGACCTCAGCTCCCCTAGGAACACAGGTCATTATGACCAGGAGGAAATCTGACCATGTCTATCCCTTATTTTAAATTTTTCAGTGGTTCTGCATTGCTCATAGAAAAAAGTCTCAAATCCTTAAAAAGATAGACAAGGCTTTCTATAATCTGGCATCTGTTTGTTTCCCTAGCCTCTTCTCCTAAACATGTTGCCCTAAAATTCTTTCCTCTCATTATGCTTCCCTTCCTACTCATGGTTGCTCAAACATACTTTCTTTCTCTTTCACCATAGGAATGATTTTGTCACCTCATACACATTTCCCACAGATGTATCTCACCCTAGGGAAAGTTCTCATATTTTCCTTATTTCCTGGGAACACCTCTGATCCCAGTGTCATTTCACTCTGGGTACCACTCTAATCCATGCCTCACTATTCACTCTACTCTACATATGTTATTGACCATATAATAGCACAAGATCACTTTTTTTCCACTTCCTACTATTCTACTTCTGTCTTATTACTGAGAATAGCCTTACCAAATACATCTGCTTCTGCTCTCTCTGCCTGGGTCTCTCATAAGCCCAGGAATTCACCAGGCCCCTCACCCCAAAGTTACTGGTACTTGGGACTTAGGAGGGAGATATATTACACCCATACCTCCAGTCAGCTGGGAATTTGGATCCAGATCTCATTCTCACTCACCTTCTTTCTGACAGAATTCTTGAAATGACAAAGTTCTATTGGAATGGCACTTGATCCCACCCTCAGTTTACCCTGGAGACATCACTGACCCCAGTTTCATCTTACTTTGAGATCAGCTCTGGCCTTACCCTCCCCAATCATCATACCAAAGAGAAAGCCATACCTCAGTATACCCTGAGAATGATTTATACTCTGACCTTGGCTGGCACTGAACTCAAGAAAGAAAAGTGGCATGAAGCAACTGGCCCAAAGTAATACTAATACTATCCCCAACTAGAGAAGTTTTTCTCCCCAACGACCCCAGTTGGTAGGGGAGGAAAACTTCCCAATCATCATAACCCCCCCTCACGTTCTGTGTATGCAAGCCAAATGTGTGTCAAGTGGTACTCAGGAAGAACTCACACAAAGGCCTTTTTCCAGGTGTATTTTAGGCTTCCAGGTATAGCACAGTCACAAATATCAGTTTGCTCCCAAGTGAGTGAATGAGCAATGGCTAGTTCAGGAAATTCAGACTTCAGCTTTCTTCTGGTTTCTAGGCTTGTAGTTTACACACTCTATTGTTGCAAAGCAACAATAATTAGAAGCCATCCTTCTATAATATTTTATTTGAGCTTGACAATATATTAAGCAGAATAGAACTAGGCTTTAAACTTTCTAGCCATGCAATCTTGGCCAATAACTTTACCCATTCATAAAAATGAGAATGATAGTAGGATCCTGCAAGATTGTTGTGAAGAAAAGTAAACAAATATATATAAAGCATCAAGAAATATACCTGGCCCAAAAAGGTTTTCCAATCATTTATTTATTCAGTCAACAAATATTTACTAAGTATATGCTATGTGCCAGTCAGTATTCTAGCACTAAGGATTTAGCCATCAACAAAAATCCCTGCTCTTATGGAGCTACCAGGGAGTAGGGGGCAAAGTAAAAGCCTAACCAATAAATACGCCAGATGGTGATAAATGTTGTCATGAAAAACCGAGAAAGAGGTTGCAGTATGCTGTGGAGGAGGGATTGCTATTTTTAAATAGAATGATTGGAGAAAGCCTCACTGAGTTGACATTTGACCAAAAGATCTGAAGGAAATAAGGCATGAGCCACGCAGAAAGTTACAGAAAGAAGAAAGAACCAATGCAAAGGCCCTGAAGCAAGAGTATGTCTGTCTCTAATGCTCAAATAGTAAGAAAACCAATGGGGCAGGATGAGCAAGTGGAGAGGAAATGAGGCTAAGACAGGTAACTGGAAGCCAAGTCACATGTAACTTTGTGGGCCATTCTAAGGGCTTTGGCTTTTCCCCTGAGAGATCTGTAAAGCCACTGAACAATTTTGAACAGAAGAGTTATATGATTTGGATTTACGTTTTGAAAGGATCACTCTGAGCCAGGCACGGTGGCTCATGCCGGTAATCCCAGCACTTTGGGAGGCTGAGGCAGGTGGATCACGAGGTCAGGAGTTCGAGACCAGTCTGGCCAACATGGTGAAACCCCGTCTCTACTAAAAACACAAAAATTAGCTGGGAATAGTGGCACTTGCCTGTAATCCCAGCTACTTGGGAGGCTAAGGCAGAAGAATTGATTGAACTGGGACCTGGGAGACAGAAGTTGCAGTGAGCCAAGATCACACCACTGCACTCTAGCCTGGGCTACAGAGTGAGATGGAAGGAAGGGAGGGAGGGAGGGAGGG